GTAAGGACGGTCAATGATTATGATCAGATCGAAACTTGGTAAATAAACAAAACCTGAGGAGAATCGTGTTTTAGTGATATTTTGGATTAGCTCAATGGTATGTCAGTCCATCTTTAACTTCAAGTTTTCAAATTTATCAGACTTTTTTCACTCTCGAAGTAAATGGCCTACGAATCCTACATTACGCTCTATACCTCTTCAATGCAAAAAGATGAAAACGCACAGACGAAGCAAGGAGTTTTATGAGTCGCGGAAGCTATAAATCGATAATCGAAAAGTTTGTTTTATTACATTTACTGGCAAGCGTTCTGTTGCAAAATGGCACTAATGTTTTTTTAGAATATCGTAAAATGAAATGATTTTTATGCAATTATCTTCCGTATTCAACGATAAGCAACTTACACTCCATAACAAGGGTTGCTACAGGTCAAGTCCATTCTATTGAACTAGAATATTGCAAAACATTTTGACTCAGAAAAGCTATTCATGTGAAAAAGTACATGAGACTTCCACGAGAGTACTTAACTTATTACATTAATTTGCTCTATAAAAAATATAAGTCGACACAATTATTGTTGAGCGTAACAAAATCTTTCTCCGCACAACAACAGCCGGTTCTCATGCGAATTGTTGAAAAGCAATTGTTTGAATCATTGTAGACGGCGCACAATACCTCGCGCCCTTCAATACGACACGCAACAACGCATGCCGCGAAAATACATACGAATAAAACTATAAAACAGTCGAGGAGGTTCAAATACGTTGCTATTGATATGCGATTAATAAATTATCTAAATGAAAAATCCTCTGCATAGTTTTTCATCGGATTTAAAAACCATTCATTTCTTACAGTGCGTCTACTGTCGTAGTCATATTACGTTTGTTACTGCCAGAACCTCTGCATAAAAGCATATTGAAATATCTAGACAACATTATATCCATAGACGTGTGATCACCGCTAAGACAGAAAGTTGTACGTCTCTGCTATAACTCGCATCTTCCGACGGTCAATGATTCGTGGCGAGGATGAGCGTCATTGCCTTAGATGTGACATCAAAAGTATTCTCGGTATTAACCGATACGTAAACGTGTTTATTAATTTATTTTCGTACATTACTTAATATAACATGACGAATACTTCCCGCATATGACGTCACGTCAACATGCTACATTTTTTCTAACCGCCACAATGACTCAGTTGGTAATGCCTATTCACATTATATGCAATGTTTCAATTAGAATAAAATCAAATCACCTTCACAACATGCATTTGCTGTTGAATCTTTACTGACATATTATCTAGAAGTGTTTTTATTTTCATTAAAAAACTACCAAAATTGGTAGAAAATAATTTACATGGCAATATTAGGACGTGAGTACACAGAACAATCGTCGTATTTATCAGAAGTGTTTGTAACAGAACAATGTTTATAAAAGTATTGCAGAGTGCTTGGGTGCAGTGTCCAGTAAGCAGATAACGTTCGCTCCACTTTCCCGTTTCCTTCCTCTGACACGCATTCTAGTGTACTTAAGGGCACGTACACACTAGCGGACATCTAACAAGATTAACTCGTAACACTCCTGCAACCGGAATCGGTTTCATCGTTTATCCCTTCAAAGGCTTGTTAGAGGCGGAATTGTAACCGACTTGTACATATTAATGCTAATGGTATGCATTGTAAGCCATACTTAAATAACTCACAGCCCTCATTAGTGTCTGTAGCTTATTACAGAAATGCCTACTTATTCAAATTGCATGTTTAAAAGATTACATTGTGTACAATTCTTAACTTTTACTCGAATATTATTAACACATTTTTACTTATTAATATTACATATCTGTTGCGCTTTTTAGATTGATAAAAAAAACTCAAGAGAAACTAACTCACACACAAATCATTAGATAATCTTCAGAAGAACTTAGATAAAAGTAAGTAAAAGGTAAACAGAGTTTTATATTTATCTACATTCCACTCGTATAACATATTCATACAAGCCTACATACGTATTCAACATCTCGTGTCGATTAAATTAGCACTAAAAGAGACCACTTATTTTTCAACGTTCCTAACACATTAGGTACAATATTAAACATTTAAGAATTAAATGTTTACGTGCCAACTATGTGAATCACTAGGATATAAAATTCTACTATAAAAAGTCAAGCTACTAACATTTGCATAATGAATCGTATGCTCCTCTCTCACTCCAATCACGTTCGATACAAATCAAGTTATCATAATGATCAACGCTATGAATGTGCTAACAAAGTGAACTGCCGATTAGAGCATAAAGAGCATAGTTAAAGGGAAAAGTTCGCTTGCTAAGCTTGATTAAACGGATAGTGGAGTTCATTATGTAAAAAGTATCTCATAATTTAATGTTTACGACTACTAAAATACAGTTGGAATATTAGTATATTTTATACTGTATCTACATTAGTCTGTGATTTTGTGCCATGATAAACAATTCTTTATATATTTTTCTATTAAAATAATTTTAATAAAACAGTCATGTAAACATTTATAAAATAGTTCTCTCCTTCCAAAGACATTTTTTGAATTGTAAAACGATATAATATACAGACATGAATTGATCAATATCAGAGTATTTAAAATAGATTACAAAAGTTTCATTCATTGACGAAATAATAAGCGCGATGAACCACTCGACCGGAAGTGCGTTGAAAACCTTTTTGCGCGGCAACAGGCAAAACGCGTTAAAAGAAAGTTGTGCGTAGTCAACACATGGTTACGAGCATGTTGTGAAAGATCAAGTTTTTACCTTTTAACATTATGGTGTCGATAAACAACACATTTTCCATATTAACCATTATTGGGATATAATTTTTTTTACAATTAATTTACGTATCGTGTGTATTGTCCGTAAGCTTTGATATTACACAACAGTTGGCTTGTCAACGTAAGCCAATGCGATAAAGACTCCATTCAAACTATATTTAGTCATTAACAATTACATTAAGCTTTGCAAGATAAATGAATCACACAGAAAAAAGAAAACAGATTCACTTCTTACCATTTTTCTAATAACTGTAGCTTGTATAAATGCATCCTTAGACACTTTGATAAATTTATTACCACTTTGAATAAACTTCATTTTCAACTATATAACACAAGTGGTGAGCACTGCCTTTGACACACCAACACACTTACACTGAATTATAATTGAATAGCTAATGTTCTACACAAACACACAGGTTATTTACAAACATTTACGTTCCACAAAGTAAACAAACAGAACATAGAGGAGGTTCAGTTATTACTAGAGTACTACAGCAATAATATACAAAATCAGATATGAATCACTATGATCATATGCACTTTACTATGTAATTTATTATGTACCAATATATAACTGTATATAAAATGGCCGTATTTTCATAGATTTATCCACACTCTACCAAACATTTTAAGGAAGTTCCTTTTAATAACTATACTAAAACACTAACCTGTAGTAACTGTAACCAAGTTAGAATCAGTTATGTTTGAAACGGCAAAAATCTTTATATGTAGCTCCCATCGCACTTTTTATTTAGAATTTTTGTGTCAATGTAATATTCCTGTTCCTATTTCTAATGCAATTAATAATCATAATAACTTTTTAACCTTTTTCAATTAATAATATTTATTTCCACAGTACTAAAAAGGGCATATTTAACCAATATCTATTCCGTAATCACTCTTTAAAAGTAGTAAAAAAACTACAAAATAACCATCTTGAATCTACTATAAATAATACCAATGAATGTTTTATTTACAAGAAAAAAAAAATGTTATATTTACACAATGATATTTATACATTCTGCATTCATTTACAACATTTATTATAACTAATGGAGTTCTAGTAAATTATTAGACTAATGAATGAAATCTAGCATATGCATACATATAGATGTAAAATTGCAAAATAACATTAAAATGCAAATCAAATTGTCAAATACGACTAACCGGAGTATTATCATTGCTGTTTAAATCAAGTGCGTTGCTAAAATAACTGAGTATCTGCAAAAAATTAACAGAACATGAGACGATAGATGTACTTTGATTGAATTTGGTAAACTTCTTGAAATTCATTATTTAATAGCTTTCACCCACAACTCAAAACATGTGGAATAAAAGAAAACAAAAGTAAGCCTATGTGTTCTAGGATTTCCTCTGTATTTTTACAAATTTTAAGAAGATCCATTTGGCTGTTTAGGCTACAAAAATATTAGTAAGAAGTAAAATATGATACTAGTGTTAACTAGAACTATTAACAAAGTTGATAAAAATGTAATATTCACACTTATTAACTGACAATGTAATCCTTTTCAAACATTGACTTTGTTTTTAAAATGTTTATTAAACTAATTTAATTTAACAGTCAACAATTTTAGCAATAAAATTTTCCTTGTCAACTTAAATGTAAAGTATATAAATAGAGATAATACATAAGATATTTTAAGCAACAAGTGTTGTATTGATGCAAGACTTAAACATTGTGTAAAAATTAAGTTATGAACCTATAAAATGCCAATCTTATCTCACAGTTTGCCATTAACTTAATAACATAACTTTACAATTAATGTCCCTAAAACATCATTGATAATAATAATACAAGCATGTTCTACATTCTACAAGTTTCAATTTTTATCACATAAGAATATCTCCATCTTATCTATATTTAAAACATGATAACCTATAATAACTCTTCTACATTACGACATATTCACTTATCAATTCACGTTAGTACTACACTTTTACTTTTAACATACAAATTACTTACAACTTCAAAATACACTTGCTACTTTACGTATTTACTCTGTGCCATAAATTTTCAACACTTGATAATGAGAATTCAAATGTTGGATGATTTAATATGCCGCCTGGTCACATTGCAATGGTGAAATCAGTAAAATCACGCATCTATAACAATTAATTTATTCGACGCGCGAATTCTAATGTTGTGTACTTGTGCTACGTAAATATGAATAGACTTACCGATTTAGGCATCTTGGCGGTTTAGGATCACAATCTGCAAGGATAAAAGTATTTTGTGAATAAATCCAGTAGCGAATTCCAGCTCTAGCAAAGCGGTTGACAGACATTACTCTTCGCTGCGTGTGACGTCTACTTTCAATTTGTGACTGGGTAAACAGGTAAACACACTGATATAGTTAAAGCTTTCTCATATCAACACATATCATCTGCTTGGAATTGTTTTCCCACAAATAGCTGTAATTTAAAGGTTACATTAAACTTATAGGCACCGGGTTCCAATGTGCACAATGCTAAGTAACATTCCGATAAACTTAGCTGTAAAGTTGAGATTTTTAGGGGGATGTTTGTAACACCATAATGTGCCGAAACTTACCCGGTAAAACAAGAATATCACCTAATAATCCACATAAGTAGCACAACACACATGAAGAAAGCACACACCCAAAAGAGCCACAAAAATATCGCAATGTGATGTGACAACTGCTTGCGTGACGTGGATCTAGTGTAGCCATGTATTCAAACTCAAAATCTACTAAATTGATTCAAAATTCTTTTAAGCTTTTAGAGTGCTTTTAAGTTAAGGCTTTCAACTTCCACTTATTGTTTGATCGAATACAGTTAAGGATTTAATTTGTTAACGATGCATAACAGAAGTTCATCAAAAATGACTGATTAACAATTTTGCAATTTGGGAAACTGAATGATTAAGGGCATTATTATCTGTAAACATTATTTATTGACTTTATGAACGAATCACTTAAGTCAAAGAGAAATGTCAACAATGTCAATAATAAAACATGACCAGTGCGCGTAAAGGCGGTTTGCGTTCTCGAAATAAATAATTCTTATTCTAATTATATTTCATAGTTTTAAAAATGATGTAAACAGGTTTTGCTTTTGTTATACTTTCAAATAATTCAGGAGTTTTAGTCAAAAAACTGGGATTTTCTAAACCTTGCAGCAACTGTTTGCAATGGGCTCGTCTCCATTTCGCAGACTCCTGCACTGGGGTCCTATAGCGGTTTTATGTAAGTAATATGTTTAAAGTAATATACTTTAGTATATATTTTATTCATGATTTACATTGAATTTTCCAGGTATCATCAAATTGATAACATTGGCGATGGTACATCTGATTGGCATGTGGTGGCCACCGCACTCGTCCATCTCTGCAGCATTGCATGCTGCTACCTTTTTAAGTTTAGCAGTTTCCACACTGTATTTTTTCCTTCAGTCTTTATTGGAAGGACCTGGCTTTGTACCACTGGGTTGGAGACCAGTAAGTAAACATAAAGTGACATTTAATAAAAAAAAATTGCAACTACTTAGAAATACATTAACAAAGAAAAAACATTTAAATTCTATTTGCAATACAAATTACAAAAGTAAAATTTAAAGAATGCATGTTGATCTTAAAGCCATAAAAAGTGCATAAAACTATTTTTTAATTTTCAGGACAATGAATTGGACATTTTAAAACTTCAGTTTTGCACAATTTGTAATGGCTACAAGGCACCTCGGTCACATCACTGCAGGCAATGTAATTATCGTACAATAATCATAAATTAAAAGTCATTAGTATGACATGACAATATAAAGTATATTCATTTTATTGCTTAGACACTCAAGATATATTAATAACATAAATAATAATAAAAATAAGGGATAAAATGCAGTCCCAAAACTCATCTTAATACTTGCACAAATCAAATATAGGAGAACCTCGATAAGTTAAAGTCCAAAGGAACCACAAAATATTTTAAGTTATAGAGGTTTTAAGTTATGAAGGGTCTATGTTATAGAAGTTTTGGACCCTGATGGGAAGGGAACATATTATTTTTTGAAGTTATTTTTATGTTATTGAGGTTTGAGATATTGAGGTTCTACTGTAGTAAAATATGCAAGATTACTTTTTAATGTATGATCTTACTAATATTATAAATGTGAATGTTTACGATAGATGGATGGATGGACGGATATTACTACATACTTTAAGAATAGTTCAAGGGATCTTGTTAAAATTTGGAATAGACAGCATTGTCTGAAAGAACACATAGGCTGTTAGTTAAGTTTTTTTTTTTAATTTTGGCTCAAGCTGATCAGGCTACAGTTAACAAATAAGGCACAAGCATATTGCTTATATAAATCATGTATTTTTAGGTGGCTACTGTGTAATGAAAATGGATCACCATTGTCCTTGGATTAACTGTTGCGTAGGGCACAGCAACCACGGTTACTTCACTCTATTCCTGATATCTGCAGTGTTTGGATGCTTGCATGCTTCTATTGTAAGTTTTACTGATTACTGCATAAAACATTTCTTTTTTTTTTTTTTATAACAAAAGATGGCAAACGAGCAAGCAGCCACCTGAAACCGCCAAAATGGCGAAGCGACCGCTGCCCATAGACATTCCAAATTGCCGATGCGTTGCCTACCCTTGTACGTCGGAGGAGGATATGCACATAAAGAGGATATTTCCCCTTCCTATGCATCTCCTCCGCGGTCAAATCCACTTCCTCTTCCCAACCTCTTTTTAAAAGAAAAGGGTGGTTTACCACCTTCCCCTTTAGAGAAAGGGACTTAAATTAGGCCTCCGGGACCACACTCATCAGACGAAACACGGAATTGCTTCCATTTGACGCCTGTCTTCTGTGTGGTCGTGATATTACACCGGGCGTGCCGGCCCTGCAGTGCTAAGATGTTAAAGCGGGCACTACCACTGTTCTTGTTCTATGTTAAGTGTTAACAAAAAAGCATTTACCACTTTAGTACTAATTTGTTCTGTTTACATACAAATTGCAGGCAACTTTTTATATATTTATTTAATACACTTATTACTTGTAAAATCCCCTCTTGACTAATGCATCATAACTTATTTCCAGGTTCTGTCAATTTGTGTTTACCATGCAATCAATCGTGTGTGGTATATGCACAATGGCACAGGCCAGGAGCCCATCGTCTACCTCACTCTAACCACACTCCTCCTGACCCTGTTAGCTGTCGGTATGGCCATAGGAGTGGTCCTGGCTGTAGGCACTCTACTATTCCTACAGGTAATTTTGTTGATACAGATAGAAAAACAATTAGGTTGTTTTTAAAATAAATTTGTTTTTCTAGATTCGTGGCATCCTCCGCAACCGCACTACAATTGAGGATTGGATAATGGAGAAGGCGGCGAACCGTCGCGAGGAGCAGGGGCTGCCGACCTTCGTGTTCCCCTATGACCTGGGCTGGCGCTGCAACCTGAACTTCCTGCTGCACAGCCATCGCTACGACGGCCTGCACTGGCCGCTGCGCCTTGGTTGTGGACAGTATGACCTTACTGTGAGTATCCTCGCAATAAATACGTAGTTTTTTTTAGGAAAAATTAATACAATATATGATTATTATTCTTAAAATGTGATAGTAAGTCATTTCACTGGTTTTTATTGTTATTGTCTATGAAATAATTTTGGGACACTCTTTTGTCTGTGTTCACAACCAATAAAGGTATTTTTTTTTATATAAATGTAATGTGATACAATCAACAGTGAGAGAATTTAATTATAATCTATATTTGTGACTTTTTGCCATAACTTGTAATTAGCCTTCACTTTTTTGCTTATTTTATTATTTTTTGTGAGTTAGCTATAAATAAAAAATGATGTAGATAAGTTTAATTTGTATTGAAGTGGGCTATAAGTGGTTGTTGTGTGTCAGATGGAGCAGATAGCGCAGAAGGAGGAGAAGCGGCTGCGGTCGCGGCTGTTCGTGGCGCAGGAGGAGTACGGGGGGCAGTGGGTGCCGCTGCGGCGGCCGCGCGCGGCGCTGGCGGCGCCCTGCAGCGCGGAGCCCCGCCTGGCGCTGCGCCCCGGGGACCTCGTGCGCGCCACCAGGCAGCGCAGGTAACACTGCTGTCTATTGCTTGCTGCTTCTGCCATATATCTCTGTCAACTGCCATATTTTTACTATTCTTGAACATATTCCTCCCAACACAATCCATCCATATACACTACCCGTTACCCGCGACTCGTCTGCGTGAAATAAAAGTAAAATAAAATAGCATAGTTTATATTACTTACTGATAATGTAGCTTTTTAAAGGTGAAATTTTTTTTTTAAATCAGCCCAGTAGTTTTTGAATTAATTCAATACATACAAATCTTTCCTTGATACATACAAAAAAGGATTTGACTTAGGTAAGGATGTAAAGAAGGGAAATACTTTTTTTAGTGTGTTTTCTCAATTGATTAAGGATAGGCTACAAATTGAGATTCATTTGTCGCATTTTTGCGAGATGCCTTTCGGTAACGGTCACTATGAAATTTCGGCGTTCTTAGGCCACTATTTGCTGGCATGGCATGGATTAAAAAAATAATAAAGTGACTTGAAGTAAATGTCATGCACATTACCTAGCATTACTAATAAATGTCAGTAATCATTATGATTTAGAGAATTTGAACATTGTTAGGCACTGGTTGTTCGGCGAGCTGGTAGTGCGGTCGGCTCGCGGGCCGCGCGGCTGGTTCCCCAGCGCGGTGGCGGCGCCGGCCGACGCGCGCGCGCTCGCCCTCGCCCGCGACACCGAGCGCGCACAACACGCACAGCACGCACACGCCAAGCCAGACTAGCGCTGACATTAACTTTTATATTTTGACACGAAATATTTTTATACACATATTTTTTATATTCACACTGTAAAAATCAGTTGTGAATATTCTCTACAATTTTTTTTTTTTTTTAGTTTTTAGACAAAAACTATATAATACTTGTGACCTCAGTTATGTAGATGTTTTTAAACTATGAGAGGATAAATATTCGTTTTAGAAATTTTCACGACTACTGTAGTAATTTAGATGAAATTTTCATATCAACTTATTTTATACAATGAATATCTGTAATAAATAAAGTTTTCAACTAGATCACATTTTTAAAATCTAACATTTGGTGTTAATTAACATATTCTTAAGTAGGTATATTATGCAAAGGAATTAGTATGTATTATACTGAATAATTCTGTGATGCTGAAGCATTTATGTTGACATATTTTTAAAAAGATAAACATTCTATCAATCAATAAACAATGTAAACAGCCTGTACATTGTCAGTTTTTGTATAAGTGTAGTGTATGCTTCTTCATAACTGATTTGTGATGTTCCTAGTTGTGCCAAAGGATTCTTGCACTCAAGATATCTGCAGTAAATAACCATTTACTAGGAAAGGGTACAATGAAATGATATTGTTTATTTGCTGTTCTCAACAAGCCGATGATGTTTTTCTGCAGGATTTTGTTAGTAAATTGGAGTACAGTCGAATGTATTAATTTATGGTGCTTCAAAGACTGTTTTGCTGTTTAATTTTATTTCATGTAAAAATAATAAATATAAGGGTATAGAATAAGGTCAATGTAAATACTACATTCTGTAGGAATTAATAATTCTGGAACATTCTTCTGTAGTCATACTTAATTTTAAAAGACATGTAAGTGTAACAGTGTAAATAAAATATAAAATTATTTGAATTTGTTTTCTTCAAAATCCTTACATAAAATGACTCAATAAATAAAATACGATTTAAGTGTAAAAAGTTTAATGTGCGATAAAAATAAATTATTCATAATAATGTTACTTTAATACAAATCATTATCTTAAGTAATTTCTAAAAGAAATTTAAAAGAATTCCGTTTTATTACTAAGTCAATAAGACAAATATTAGATATATTATCACGTTTTTTTGTAAATTAATAAATGCCATATGATTAAACACACGCGTTATCGAGTCACAAACTTTGCATTTCACTCCGGGAAATCATATTTCAAAAGTTTGTACTGTTAATATGAAACTATGCAAACAGTAAAAGCTCACTTAATTTTCTTAACCAATTTCTAACCTAATTAATTTAATTAATATGAATGAATTCAAATTTGAAAATAATGACATTGACAAACAAAAATGACATATGTCAATTGAAACGGAAGTTTACGTTCCGTTTTGCCGTAAAAAAGTTTAGATTGCTATAAAAGTTCATTCAACATTGCTACATTGTCTTGGAATGCAATTAGTTCTTTAGTATCGGAACTGCTATAATAACATATTATCTTGGGTATAAACGAGGGATTTAATATTCATTTTCATCGTCGAGCTCCCCTTCGGTGGAGTCGACTCCGACCTCCTCGTAGTCCTTTTCTAGCGCGGCAAGATCCTCGCGCGCCTCCGAGAACTCGCCTTCCTCCATACCTTCGCCGACATACCAGTGCACGAAAGCGCGCTTTGCGTACATCAGATCGAACTTGTGGTCCAGCCTAGAATAGTTGAAAATAATCATGCCATAACATTTTTATGAAAGAGGCATACAATTTAATAGTGAAACAGTATAAAATGTCACCTAGCCCAGGCCTCTGCAATTGCGGTGGTGTTGGAAAGCATGCAGACAGCGCGCTGGACCTTGGCAAGGTCGCCGCCCGGCACCACCGTCGGCGGCTGGTAGTTGATGCCCACCTGATGATAGAACATAAGTATTAAATAATAATAATAATAATAAACTTTATTTCAAGCTTCACTTTTTTTTTGCTCATAGTTTGTTAGTAATAGAAAAAACTTAATACCTATGTTAGTCACACATACATCCAAATGTTATTCTAAACTGTACAATTATCGCTTGCCACGTGCAGCTTTATGCAGTGATTGATATATGCACAATCCAGTCTGCTGGCAATCATATGTAGAATGGTGTTGGGGCTGGCTCGCACCCTGCGCACCAGGGATGCGCATCTTTTACGCATAGTGGCATAGAAGCAATCGACGCGCGCTTCTGCAAACATCCCTGATGCGCTGCAGAATCGAGGCAGCCCCAACAGCACTCTGAAAGCATTATTGTACTGAACGCGAAGGGTGTTGTAGGATCTTTGCTTGTAGCTCGCCCACAGGCTACTCGCGTAGAAGCTCGTACAGTAAGCTCTAAATAGAGTGATTTTAACCTCTTTCGAGCAGCGAGCAAACCTGCGAGCGATCATGTTGGCCCTCACCGACAACGCCCTGCGCTCCCTCTCAATGTCACCGTCGTCTTTGAGATCAGTGGTAATGATGTGATAAAAACTAGAATATATTGTCTTTGATCACGTATTAATGATGGCATAATTTTGTACCTTGAACCCTGTGGGGCACCAGTCGACGAACTGGATGGTTCTCTTAGTCTTAATGGTGGCGATGGCTGCGTTCACGTCCTTGGGCACCACATCTCCTCTACAAAAAGAAGTTGCTATTAGAATTTACAAGCTTTAATGTCTTTCAAAGAGAGAGGGAGAAAAAAGAAATTTGGTATTTACCTATACAACATGCAGCACGCCATGTATTTGCCGTGACGTGGGTCGCATTTCACCATCTGAAATAAATATTCAATTGTTAATCGATGTTTATTGATAGCGCATCTCGATCTCTAGAAGTATTGTCAGGTGACCTGGTTAGCGGGCTCGAAGCAGGCGTTGGTGATCTCGGCGACGGTGAGCTGCTCGTGGTAGGCCTTCTCCGCGGAGATGACGGGCGCGTAGGTCGCCAGCGGGAAGTGGATGCGCGGGTATGGTACCAGGTTCGTCTGGAACTCTGTCAGGTCCACGTTCAGTGCGCCGTCGAAACGCAGCGACGCAGTGATCGACGACACGATCTGTGAAAAAAAAATCATAGATTAATATTATTATTCCAGATCATAGATTAGTCTATTTCTTGTAATAAACTTTTATTTGAGGTTGAGCATAGTAGGCTACCTGTCCAATAAGTCGGTTGAGGTTTGTGTACGTGGGACGCTCGATGTCGAGGTTGCGTCGGCAGATGTCGTAGATGGCCTCGTTGTCCACCATGAAGGCACAGTCCGAGTGCTCCAGCGTCGTGTGCGTCGTCAGGATAGAGTTGTACGGCTCTACCACTGCCGTAGACACCTGGAAAAAAGTCACGTCACAAAATGTTCATCACCATTGCATTTACCTATGTGGTAAATCAAGCTGATGCAGGAAGGGTGCTGACAAGAATAAAGAGGTTTTACAATGTCTTAATTTTGCAAACATTTTAAAAAGTGTTTTGATATTATTGCGATTTTGCTCCGACTTTCCATAACCAGAGGAGAGTTAACTTCTTGAAGTCATATAAAGACGGACAATTTGCATACTGTAGTCTGTAAAATTACCTGAGGTGCAGGATAGATGGAGAACTCAAGCTTGGACTTCTTGCCGTAGTCCACGGACAGTCTCTCCATGAGAAGGGATGTGAAGCCCGAGCCAGTGCCGCCGCCGAACGAGTGAAACACGAGGAAACCCTACAGACATAACTTAACATTCAACAGAGAGAAAAAACGACAGAAACTTAATAAGTTGTATTTCTTGTCATTGGATGGGTCACAAATATGTTAAAGCTTATTTTTCCGAGAGATCTGTTTGCTCCAGTTTATACTCCGTTGTTTACAAAGCGGGAATAAAGACGTAAATTATCCGATTTCACGACAAAAAAAAAGTTCCAGTTGACTAGTTTTGTATAAGTTATATTTATGTGTGTTTATTCAATGAAAGTGGCTGAATGTTGTAAGCAAATCAAGATTTTCAGACCATGAAATATCCGTATGTTTTTGTAATGTGGAATACTTAATTGGCTTGCTTTTGTTTTAGAAAAATGATCTTTTTAATTATTCTTAAGCATTAAAAAACGCTATCAATAACGACACTATATCCTGAATGAAATCAAAGATGCGGTGTTAAATAATTTTTGTTCGATTCGCAGTCGACCTTACGATGTTCGGTATCGTAGACTGATCATGACCGATTCGTTACGAAGACCTTAATCTTCAGACAGAATTTTTACGCATGGTTGGCTTCGTAATTATTACAAAAACATTCATACCAAAACCTAACATGCCAGTTAATTTTAAGGTACAAGGTTCGATTCCAGAAGATATTTTGGAAATATATTTTTTATATGTTTTTTAAAATGCTATGTTTTTAGTTTTCAGATCCTGGGATTATGTATCGCTGTATGATAATTGGTTGTTAAAGGGACTTTGAACACGATATTAATAGGAGTGTGTGATTGTACCTGTAGTCCTGTGCATTGGTCGGCGAGCTTCCGGATGCGGTCGAGGACGACGTCGACGATCTCCTTGCCGATGGTGTAGTGGCCACGCGCGTAGTTGTTAGCCGCATCCTCCTTGCCCGTGATCAGTTGCTCTGGGTGGAACAGCTGCCGGTACGTGCCCGTACGGACCTCGTCTGATAAACCATAGACTTGGTAAGTGGAGCGTCGATGGCTCAGGGGTTTAAACACTTGACTTGTTATCTACAGGTTCGAATTCCGTCATGTACCAATGTGATTTTCGATTTTCGAATACCCTAAGTACATTATTCACCCAACGTTCTTATGGTGAAAGATCATCGTGATGCAACCTGCACTTAACGACGAAGAAATTTAAATATAGTTATGTGTGAAGTCAACCAACCCGCACTTGGCCAGCGTGGTCGGCTAAGGACCTTTTTTTTGCGCGAGTGGAATGCTTTACGCATACTCCGCGTCCAAGGGAACGCGGTAAGGACTAGTTACCTTATCTAAAGGTAGGATCCGATCTTATGTAACTAAGTTACTAAGTGGGGACTTATACTGAGCTGGTGATGATGATGATGGTAAGTAGATTTAGACCATTGTTCACATTTTAGAAGTTATGGTGAGGAGGATCGTCGCTCGCAGAATATTTAACTACACAGGTAATAGATTTCATTATTATAATATTTGAGTCCACAACGGTGGCAATTGACTTGTTAAATAAAGAGCTGTTTAGAAATAAGTGCATAATTAACATTAATGACATGTTCAATTTAATTTACCCGTACTTCAAATGAATGTATTCTAGATGCTTTATTCATTTACTGGCAACAACCAGCAGGATTTAGCAACTTTAATTACAATTAAAACATGCCATCAACAAGTGCGTCTTGCAGTGACTAAAAGGGTTCAATTATGTTCAGTCGGCGTCAGGCGACAGGCGCGAGGGCGACGCGGGGACGACGCACATTGGGCTGAATCAAGTTGCTCCATAGACAACTTTATCTGATGTTTGAAATGTCTCTTTTTTTTGCTTAAATGTGCTTTGTA